AATTGCAAGCAAAGTTTGTTTTCCACTGAACTACATTGCTCCAATTCTAATTGTACTTAAGTAAAGCTCTGGTCTTATCTGAAGAAATATATTTATAGACCACTATTGGCATAAATTTGAAAACAGTAAAAAGAAAAAAACGTTAAAGTTTGATATATCTGAGACGTCTTTTTGAGTAATCTGATTTGGACCTGAAGTTTAAAAAAACTTCTATTTCAGAATTGGATTATAATTTTCTATTTTAAATAATTACTCAAACAGGTCAACTAAAAACTTGATCTGTATAAATTTTAAAATTGCAAGCAAAGTTTGTTTTCCACTGAACTACATTGCTCCAATTCTAATTGGATTTAAGTAAAGCTCTGGTCTTGTCTGACGAAATATATTTATAGATCACTATTGGCATAAAGTTGAAAACAGTAAAAAGAAAAAAACTTTAAAGTTCGATATTTCTGAGACGTCTTTTTGAGTAATCTGATTTGGACCTGAAGTTTAAAAAAACTTCTATTTCAGAATTGGATTATAATTTTCTATTTTAAATAATTTCTGAAACAGATCAACTACATTCTTGATCTGTATACATTTAAGAACTCAGTACAAAATTAATCAACTGAGCTAAATTTTTATATTGAACAAAATTTCAATTGGACTGAAGTAAAGCTCATTTCTTATCTGAGCTGCCTAATTCGTGTTCCCGCCTGCTGCTACTGACTTTGGACTGAACTTCAGGTTTGTGCACAGGTTTGTTGTACTGACTAAGCTATTCAACACTAATACATTCATTGTATGTACATTGGTGTAGTTTTGTGTTGTATCTGCTTATCTTGATATAAAAAGATCAATAAGGACCATTGGAGTTGCTGTTTCCTGCCTGAGCTGTCCAGAAGTCTAATCAACGATGCCGAGAAAGGGTCAGCGTTCCCAGGCTCAAAAGCTCAGATGGCAGAAGGAGAAACAGTCTCAGAGCAATCAAGTGACAGGTACTGACTCTGAGAATAACAAGCAGCAGTTTCAGAATATACCATACGCCGATGTTGCACAGAGACAGCTTGCTAGGGATGATATGTGTGTTGGGGAGTCTTTTGAACGACAGCAGGTAAATGATAGAAGTGCAAACACTTTATCCTGTGTGGTAGCACTATCTGACAGAAACACTGCCCAAACAGCTTTCCAGCAAGATGCAGGAGATACAAAGCAAAGTGCATCCCAGGTGTCGTATGCTGACATGGTGAAAAGAGGATGTGGTTCAGCTCAGCAGTCTCGAGTTAATGCAGAACTTCAGCCATCAGTGACACATGTGTGTGCCTCACGGAGTCAGGATTCGTTGAAATATGGAAAATACAGGAACAGTCAGTGTATGGCCAACAGTTTGGTGTTTCTGGCTTTTTTCCACGAGAATGAAATGATTACCAGACCAGATCTTGACCTCGTTCTGGATAAAGGTGATGCTGTGTACAGACAGGCTAGAGAAAGATTTCCTCGTAGCATCCATTTGGCAACTGATGAGCTACCAAATGAGGTAAGTGCACGCAGGTCAACATATCAGGTTGACATGACTCCATGCCCTGTATGTGGAACGTTTGGAGGTGGACAGACTTATCCAAGCCTGGAAGAAGCATTGAGCCATTTTTCATCAGATGTACAATATGGGCTGCTGATCATGTCAGGCTTATGCATTGCTGTTTTCAGAAGCAGATCTGGTGAATATGGATACTTTGACCCACACACAAGGAACAAAAATGGAATGCCAATGACATTCAGTCTTTTAAACTTTGGCACAGCAGTGATGCTGAAATTTGCCCATCTTACTGACATGATTCAGAGATTAAAGTCAGTTTACACAATGCTTAACGTACCATCATCTTGTGTATTTGAACTCCAGCCCCTCTCATTTTACCAGAGAGATGCTTCAGACACAGTTGGCACGTCTCCTCTGTTACATGAATCTGAGACACCAAGTGCTGTTCAATTTGAGGTTGAGTCTGCTTCTCTTACACAAAACATTCCTGCTCTTGAGTCAAACATCAATGTTGAAGTCATGTCTCCTGTTGCAAGTAGTCCTTCTGATGATGTAATTGAAGGTGCATCTAATGCAGTTAGTTATATGTCGTCTGTGACACAAGAAAATACAGTACTCCCCATTACCAGTGGAACAAGAAATGCAACAAGTGTACTTTTGGAAATGTCTTTGAAACTGTCAAAGTACCCTAAAGCACAAAGACAAAAGATAAAGATGAGACTACTTAAGACAGAGAAACTGAGACAAAAAAAAGAGAATCAAAAAAGGAAGGAAAGAGAAAACTATGCGTTAAGGGAATCTTTCAGAGCAAAGAAAAAATGT